CAGCTGTGCAAACTGCAAGCTCCGTGAGGCGCGAATGAGCCAGAAAAAAGCCTTTCAAACAACCAGGTGGTAATGGGTTGTCATGACAACCGCGCGACCTTGGATGGCCCGCCTCTGGTCCTCTTCCTGCGGTGGATAATTCGTGTTTTTTTGCATACCTCTCCACAACATTGAGATGACAACAACTTGTGATACAACACCGGGATTCACAACTCGATCAAGTGGAAGAAGCGAGATGGAAGAGGTATCGAAGGTGGTATCGCTTACGTGCACTGTCGAATCATTGGCCTCCAACCTTGCTGGTTGGACCTCCACGTTCAAGTCCTGGAGGGTCTTGAAGACTCTGCGGAAGTCGGGTCTGTCGCACACCGATTCAGTCCAGCAGGCGTTCATGACGCGGTAGAGCTCTCGGCTAGCCAGAACGGGCTTCAACAGGCGACCTTTGGAGTGCAGGACAAACGCCGCCACGTCCTCCTCCGTCTTCAGGCCGGCGTAGGGGTTCTCGCCCAGCGAGAAGATTTCCCACAGCAACACGCCGAACGACCAGACGTCGCTGCGAGCGTGGCGCTGATTGGTCTCCAGGACCTCCGGGGCAGACCAACGCACAGGAATCCGTCGAAGGCGCGTGCACTGCAAAAACAAACCGCCGAATTCAAACGCGGTCCACTGATTAAAAAGAAGTAGAGTGTCCACGCCGACAGTGAGGCAAATGCGTCGAAACCGCTGTCCGAGGCCTGCCGATGTAAATTTGATCTAAGTCTTGTCTGCCTGTTCCACCAACTAGTGAGCATTAAGGAGGCGACAAAGGTTGGGGGGGCGTGGATGAGAATTGGATGCGATTTGGCATCAGCACAACAAGCAGACAGCAAATTTAGAAGCCTTCATCGCTCTAAATACTTCGCAACACCTACCTTTGAGGGATCGGCCGCGTTGGCACTGAGGTTGTAATAAATTGGCTTGTCTTCAACTAACTGTCCGTGCGGAATCACACAGGCCAATCCAAAGTCGTTCAGTTTGGCTGTGAGGGAGGCGGTTAGGAGGACGTTGCGGGCGGCCACGTCGCTGTGGGCGACCTGTAAGGAAGCCAGAGTGGACAGCCAGCTTTGACACTCTCGACGCACACACACACTCGGGGATACGGAAAAGGAACGTCTTTGAGGATGCTGTCACACGTTTAGTGTAGCAGGATAAGTTCGAGCGAAAGCATGTCTCGTGCCAACACACATGGAACGCCGACAAATGTTGTCATCTAAATCGTAACGAGTGAAATGGGATTTCGTCAATGGTTTCATCAACTACACGAGCACACCGTCCAAATTGCGCCTACACAACACCTCCAATGATGAACAAAAATAAGGCGTGAGAATGTCGTTGTCGATCACATCTGACAACTAGCAGACCAGCATTTCAACGCGTCGTCAGGCAAGACAACGACAACAACTGCGTACAGCTAACTTCTCCAAGTAGATGAGTGCGCTCGCGACGTCGGTGGCGAACGAGTACAAGTCGGAGACAAGGGCTCTGCCCTGACGCTGCCAGTGCGTCTGGATCACCTCCAGAAGACACGTCTCCGGCTTCGGTCGAAGGCCACGAAGGTAGTTCTGAAGGGTGCCGTTGTGGGCGTATTCCGTCACAAGAGCTGGTCGGTTGTTCAGGGCTTAACAGAAAAGAGCAGAGGGAATGCACGCGTGCATGTTAACAGCAACAACAACTGCAATGTGGACTGCGTCTAGTCCAAACTCACATGTTCGCTGAGCGCAGCCGATGAAGTGGATGATGGTGGGATGAGGGCCAATGAGTCGGAGAATGGCCACTTCGTTGGCGAACTCCAGCACACTCTCCCTTGAAAACACGTCTGAAGGGAGAGAAACACGGCTGTCAAAACACCACACACAGCACAACCGCGTTGCGATTCGCATTACTTGTCTGAAACTGCCTGGATAGAACTAAGCCCTCCACGACTATCAGCCAACGATTCCTCGACACACTGACAATTTATACCACGACTGAAACCCCAGCCATTTATCGAATCGGTTGGCTTTGGCGCATTCTTCAAACTACATTCTACCAAGCGTAAAAGCAAACCAGCCGAACACAACTTCAGAATAATGGCTAATGCAAATCCGATGTAATTTCGGCTTTCCGTGAGACTCGAACCAAGGGATAAAAAGAAAAGATTGAACGAGATCTCCTACGCACCATTGAGAGTTTTGATCACCACCTGCCGATGCTCCTCCGCCTCCCTGCTCACCAACAGGCCCTTGAAGACGTCGCCGTAGCTGCCCTCGGCGATGCGTTCGCCAAGTCGGAGGCATCTGCCAGACAGCGACCACCGTCGCTCGTCCAGCTTCACGTACTCGTCCACATTCGAGGTGGCCGACGTCGGCAGGGACGTGATGGGTGGCGGCAGTCGTGGGCTTTGAAATCGGCTCTGCGCCAACACCCGGGCTGTGCACTCCTCCACAGTCGTCCACACACTGATGTGGTAGATGTAACGCCTTCCAGAGACGAAAACCGCCGTGGCGGAGATAAGGCACACGGCCAACACCGTGCAGACGATTGTGGAGACAAGGGTGTCGCTGATGTGCTCTTAATAAGCGAAAGCAGGACATGCTAAAGCCAGTCGCCAAGACAGCAACAACAACCGGAATGTGTCGTCGTCGTCGACGTCGTCGGTGGAAAAACAGCAGTAACAACCGCACCGACCACAAAACAGGTTTAGCTATGACCTCACCCAACCACTAGTTAGATTAGAAATGACAAGGGGTGTATGAGGAGACTGCAGGTACCACCGAACAGGTCTCAACTCACCTGGCGCTGAGCAGTTGGTGCTGACGTGGACCATCTTGAAGGTGGGTCCGTAGGCGCACACCACGACGTGGTCGGCGTTGGGCCTGTCGCAAACTAGTGTGATGTTTCCCTGCAAAAAAGCATCGTACATGACGTACCGCTTACCACCCACCTGCGTCGAGCCATTCTCTGATCCCTACAACAAAAAAGAAGAAAACCACGTATGTGAACAGTTGTGATTGGTTAAAAAACCTGTCGATTAACCAATGAAAACAGTGACGCGATGTGACTGATATTCTTCAAAGGCGCATGGAGCTAGGTTTCGTCGCAGTGAGTTGGAATAAGTACACGATATTTCCACGACACACGGGAATGGAGACATGTCCAATCATACAAACGTTGCATTTTCTTCAAATGAATCAGTTTTATCGAAAGACAGGCCGTTTAAATTAGCGAACCCTGAATACACATGCACAGGGATTTGACAATTTATCTTCGATTACCTTGTCCCAAACACTCAGACAAATTTTTTCTGCGATAATCGGAATTTTACGTGTTTCATAACTGGAGGACGGCTGATCATTGGGATGTAAGGGACGAGGTGCAGCTCTTACCCTAAAGACTTCAAAATGCTTCGGAAATCTCCACTGATCTTGAGACTTCAACGCAAGCTTGTTCTCCTGCCACAGCTGCCTCAAAAGGCCCACATCTGGTGGGAGACGGTAGAATCGCAGAGGTTGCGCGAAGTGTAGGTAGAAGGGACGGGAGCACTGAGCAAGCACGGTGTTGTTGGCGTCGGTTGGAGACACGGACATCTGTAAGAAGGAGTTGCGATCGCAGGCGTTCAGGTCGCTGATTAGACGATCCAGGGAGTCCGCAGCGTCGTTGATGTCGTCACAGCCCTCGTTGTACCGTCCAATGTCGGACAATCTGGATTACGGAGAGAAAAGGCACATTGCACGACACCACCGAACCGAAAATTCGTGAAATTTCAACGACGAAAACAGCACTTTAGTTTGTAAAGTCAGTGAAGACAAGGCATGACACAGGGACGGTGTTAATTAACCACAACACGAAAGTGGTTGCAATAGCAGGTGACATCTGATTCTCACGCAGACACATCATTTGGAAATTTCTTAACCTGAAGAGACATGGGAGCAATGAGGTCTAAGAAGGAGTCAGTCAACAGAAAACTACATTTAGATTGCGCGTAACAGGTTGTCAGACACGCCGATGCTTTGGAATTTCAACATTGAGCGACTTGTCGATATGTGGCAATCACTTCTCAAATCAGTAGTAGGTTTGCCTCGTCACCAGTGTGCACGTTAACACCCAAACAAATCCTACACTTAAGCAAACGCTGAACTGCTCGCAATCTCAATGTAGCTAAAAATATTTCCATCAGGTCGAAAACACAATTCGAGGGCATTGTGGCTTTGGCCTCATCGCATCTGTTCTGACCAATTAAACTGTCTTCTGCAGACTGTTGTTATCATCAACAAAGTTTAGTCGAGCGATGCGCAAGTGTGGCGATATGGCAGGTGGCTGTGGCACGCAGTCACTTCAACCAATTCAGCTGAGAATCGCGCAAAAACATCTTAAACAATGCGGCCGATGAGTCAACTAGGTGCGACTCGAAAAACGATCTAGGCACCGGAGGTTGCCGGCACACCAAAAAAGTATCCGTTTTTTTAGCAACTACCAGGCACGCATCGGAGCAGACGCATCCTGGCATCAGAAAACAATGCTGATTACTAAAAAGAACCTCAGCTGCACTCACTACTTAAAAATCAACTCCTAACTGGAAGTTGTTTAAATTACTCAACCCTGATTGGCTGCTTCTGATGGCATATTGTGAAACACATTTCAAGAAGTAGCTGTACCCCAGTGGAGATTCCGAGCGTTTGCACAACACTCGCCACGCGCGTTTCTTGTTGCACTAGGACGGTTGGATGCGCGACTAGCACCACTTTGCAACGTGCTTAATCGAAACACGCCACATTCAAACTGGGTCCCTTTCCACAAGGAACAAGCAGCGACAGCAACGCACCCAATCACAATGTCCGACTTCTGATGGCGACTGGTGAGTTGGTAGAACGCGGTGAGTCTGTTCTCAACCGAACCGTCGGTTGAATTCATCCACGTCTCGCAGCCGTACCTGACGTTCCGCGGTGGATCCTGCCAGCTGATCGTTAGGGTGCTCCTGAAGCAGTGGTTCAGGCGGTGCTTCAAGTAGTCCATCATACATGGCTCCTCTGTGGTAGACACACTGTGGCGCTTTTGCAGCGAAACAAAACCACAAAACTAGCTTTGTCAGAGGGATCGTCATCTAACCAAAGAGGAATTGAAACGCACCCCAGGACGACGTGTAAAATTCAGAGTTAAACTGACTCGCTAGAGGGTAAAGTAGGATGTCCTATTGTCTACAAGGTGTCGTTTTTAATGACACCTCCAATACCGGACCCCGAAACATCGTTTTGCCGATGTAAATCAACAGATTAATTGACCAAAACCCTGGCTACTAAAACATCCTCGCCGTTTTGGAATCTTGATTCGACTTGCTGGAAGTTGCATGCGAATCGCATAGCTCTTCCCCTACACAAAATCTCAACTCAACGATCGCAACACGAAACCTCGTCGCACCTCGCCGAAATATTCAACGGGCGTGTCGAGTCGCCTGTCGGCGGGGAATCGGTGGTTGAAGAACCATGAGACGCCTGGCCGCCTCGAGCTGTAGGACTGCACGAAGTAGAAACACGAGAATTCCACTGTCCCAGAAGCCGCGGCAGCAGCCAGCGGGGTAGAGAGCATCTGCGGAAGCCAGTAGACACTGTCTGCAAGGAAACACAACTGCCTTCAGGGAAAGCGTTGAGCTGTGTGGTGCTCACAGGCTAAACGGAACCACGACAAACTCTTGCTCAATTTCTATCAGTTAATTCAACTATGTGAATGAACACGG